CAGAAATATAATTGAATTGATAGTCACACTTTCTGTGGTACACTCTGTATTTAGATAATTCAAACACAGTTATCAATAATAAGATAAGTAGTTTTACTAGTATACCAAGTTAGAGTGTATCCACCTGATCATTGGACTCAACATCACCCGGGACTACAACAGGTTCAATTAAAATAAACTGTCTGATGTTTGTAAATAACTTGACAACTGTCATCTTGACGAAGCTCCTAAAACTAGGAAGTGTTATACAGTAGATGTAAAAGTTGGAAATGATATTTATCGTTTTCAGAAACTCTGAGATCCTGTTGAAGTCTGATTCTTGAGAGTGCCTAGATTTAACTGTGATAGCAATATAATACCCAACTCTGTCCAGTATGACAGTTGTGGTGTAAACTGTTGCTGTAGCTATTACTGTAGCAACTCCCTGCCATCGTACTGTCCCTCCACTTCTCTTTGCTACTTTTCTTGAATTCATCAAACAAAGGAGGGTAAAGAAAGAAGCAATGAATATGATCAATGTGAGAATGTCTTTGGTGATCACAGTGAAGGAGTAAGCTACGATCCGCTCTGCTATTGAAGAGTTTGAAGAGAGACCAAAGTTAATGTTATAACTAATATAGCTGAAGACAAGTCCGTTCTTGTCCAGAATAAAACGTAAAATTGGGTAGATGTTGGCAAAGATCCAGATGGAAGCGCACAAAATATGAGCCCTTTTCTTAGTCCAAGTTTTTGTCCTTAAAGGGTACTTCAATATCAACATTTTACTGCAAGCTAGAAAAACTGTTAGAAAACTGTTAACTTGACTACTAAAATAATCTAGATACAAGTGAATATGGGCGATAACATCACCTAAAACCCACTGATCAGTTATCAGTGATATCATAGTCGGCAGCACATAACCAAAGCATGCTACCAGATCACAAACTGCTATATGCTGCAACACAGCTACAATACACTTGTTTATTCGCAGCGCGTTGTATCTTGTTGATGCTACCAGGATTATAGAGTTTCCAATTATTGAAGATATGAGAACAATCGTCAGGTAGCTGAACCAGAAGTACCTCTCCGTGTCTCTGTGTAAACCGTAATCTGTGAAGTTGTCTGAGATCTTCATATAGTGACGCTGTGCTACATGATAGTAGAAGATTTAATTAATAAAGCATTTTTATAAGCTGTTTTATAGTATTTACTGTACCAAACATTTTAGAAGTGAATCCAACGAAACTTTAACACTAATAAACAGTTCTTGATCAACAAAACAATATAGCCTACCTTGAAATGTTGCAAGAGTCGATTTATACTGGATTCATTAAACTAGAAACTGCAGCTGATAAAGATAACAGGTGTCTACAGAATGTAGGCCCGAAAGTATAAGTAATCAACCAGTCCCCAATCGCTTCTTACTTCTTGCAGATACTTACAGTAGGTCATCAAAATGTTTGTGAAGTTTGAAGATGGTTTAAATCGCAGGAATTTTAGAAAAGAACAAGTATAATAACTTATCTTTCATTGCATCATTATAGTTTATTTAGAGTTAAAATCTGTTTGGTATTAGTGATCGAGGATGTTTTGTGCCTATACCTCAGTCGGCAGAAAGCTTCGCCGGGCTTGAAACGACTATAGAAAAGAACAAAGATTAATACCATTGCTCCACAAAGAATAACCAATTTACTGTTTTGTTGGTTACATAATATTGTACAGCAGCTGTGATGAAATACCATTTACTCTGCCCCACTAATTGGCCTAGAGGCAGTGGTGTAACGTTGCCTATTGGCACCCCCACCCCCGGCCCCCCTCCCACGGAAAAAGCCCCCCCCCCCCCCCCCCCCCTGTTGACGCCTCCTCCCCTATTGGCGCCACTCCCTAAAATTGAACAAATTTGTTGATCTTAGAGGATACGCCGGTAGAATCTCAAAAAAGTGTGTTTCTAGATCAAAACGCGCAGTTTTTCTAGTACCGTAGTTAAGTTTTTCGAAATTGTCTCCATATGTCCCCCCCCCCCCCCCCCCCCCCAACACAGCTGGTCGGCGGGGCCCTTTGTTACGCCACTGGCTAGAGGACATTACTTCGGTACCTAGATTAAATAAGTAGAGAATCCCTCATAAACAAATACAGGTGCAAAAATTTAACAATTGCGGACCGGGGTGCAAGATCCTTTTGTGTCACCTTCATGAAAATAATTTACCGAATACTCTCTCTGAAACTAAGGATTCTAAAAATAAACTCTTCTTCTAAGAGTACTCGACCTAAATCTGGGTATTGCGTGCATCGTCAATTAAAGGATAAAAAGTTGTTTTATACAATATGTACTCCGACTAGTCCAAACGTGACTATGTTTCTACTTTCTACCCACGACATGGTGTTCTTATTGGGAATTCGAAAAAAGGTCGGCTGAGCGCGGGAACCATACGCATCCAATATATACAAGATGGCGCGGCGTCATAATTAATTATTTTATTGATCAATTACACTAAAGTTTTCTAAAGCTAGAGTGTATTATATAATACGATAGAGTGGTTCCGCGTCTATCCAAAAATCCGCATAAATATCACCCAACTCCTCTTTATCCACCCACAAACTCGTCAGGATACCTTGAAGATACGTCGCTAGGCGACAAGCCGTAAAATTAGTAATTGCACGCACGACTTTTATTTTTTGGCAAGCACAGATGAAAATAGTGTCGCACGTGCAGTTTTATCTATAAAACCTAGCAACACGTTTGCACAGCAGCCAATCTGTTAGAACTCTCTTTGAATTCGCTTCGATTCGCAATTTGATCTCAACTTTGATCATCCAACTCACATCACTAATATGGTACTTGACAAAGACTCCATGTTAGTGGCGGCAATATTTACTCTGATATTGACGTCCTGCCTACTCGGACTCTTTGTCCACTTGTTGGTGGCCACGAAGGCAGACAGCAGGACTGCCACCACCAGGCTTAGAACCTGCAATATGATGATCCAGCAGCTGGATAATGCCACCGAAAGGACGTTCGGCGAATTCCAGCACCACCTGGATAGAAGCATGAAGTTCATGTTTATGAAAACCCGAAGCAACAAAAGGTTCCACAACTGGTCACAGACTGACCAACCTGATTTGGAGCTTGGTCTCCAAACAAAAGATGAAGAAAGCCAGACTGATCTGGAAAGAAAGAACAGTTTGCCTCCACTCATGGTGCGACCGGCTCTTTCTGGAGACGTTGTACTGCCCATCAGTGGCTAAATGGATCGTGGACTACCATCACAATTTACACCAAGGATGAGGATTTTATACCACTGTCGACTGTAGTTCAGTTCCTTATGTTAAGGAAGATTGGACTACAGCGACCCTACGATTTTACACCAAATTAGATGATGATTTTAGACGATCTCCCTTACACTAAGGGGGGTCACAGTGGGGGGAGTAGTTGACTCCTTGTGCCAGCCCCATGACTCTAGTCATGTCCGGAGAAGCAGGTCGAGATTGGTTAGCGACATGTTTCTCTGGAACAGACACATTCTCTCAAGTTGAGATGTGTGTCTGGGGGTCCCACTGCCGCGGATCTGATCTGGCTGATGGTCCTGGAGTGCGGTTAACTCCAAATTTGGGAAGGGGATTGCTGTTCATTTTTGGGTTTAACTTTGGCAGGTTGTTTCAATTGAATGTTTCCTTATGTACTTATATCATCAGCTCCTAGAGAATCCGTATTTTGGCCGATCTAAATTATTTATTCAGTCAGATCAGTCATAATTTCTCTTTTTCATTTTACTTTCATTCCCTTTACATGAAAATTCTACCAGGATTATACTTTTGTGCTTATTCTCGCTTATTTACTCAACTTTTTAAATAAAAGTCTCACTCTTTAACTGTTAACGGCAAAAGTGTATGGGACACTTTTCAGTTCACAATTTTCAGCCAGTTTTCCTATGTCATTGTCTTAGTTGATAAAGGAGTATAATGTTTACTTCTAAATTCAATGCCGTATACCGTTACTAATTCTTTCGCATCTTGGTTCGTTATATTTTTATCCTCAGCTCAACAATCTGTTAAATTTCGAATCCGCTTGATTGATCAAATTTGATCTCAACAATTATCTACAACACGCCACTAAGGTACTGGACAGTAAAGGCCGACAGCAGGACCGCCACCACCGGCTTAGGACCTATAACATAATGATCCAGAGGCTGGACAATGCCACCGAAAGAACCTTCGGAGAATTCCAGCATTACCTGGATCAAAGCATGAAGTTCATGTTCATGCAAACCCGAAGGAAAAGGTTCCATAACTGGACACAGACTTACGAACCTGATTTGGAGCTTGGTCTCCAAACACAAGACGAAGAAAGCCAGACTGATCTGGAAAGGAAGAACAGCTTGCCTCCTCTCATGGTGCGACCGGCTCTTTCTGGCGACGTTGTACTGCCCATCAGTAGTGGCTGAGTGGATCGTGGACTTTGGACAACCATCACAATTTACACCAAGGATGGGGATTTTAAACCACTTTCGACGATCTCCATTATATTAAGGAACGTCACTACCACATCCCTTCGATTTTACACCACTAAGGACGATTTTAGACGATCTCCCTTACATTATGATTAAGGGGGTCACAGTGGGAGGAGTAGTTGACTCCTTGTGCCAGCCCCATGACTCTAGTCATGTCCGGGGAAGCAGGTCGAGATTGGTAAAATAGTGAGCGACCTCTTTCTCTGGAACAGACACATATTTTCTCAAGTGGAGCTATGTGTCTGGGGGTCCCACTGCCGCGGATCTGATCTGGCTGATGGTCCTGGAGTGCGGTCAACTCTAAACTCTTGAGAGGAGTTACGATACAATTTTTGGGTACTACTCAAATATATAATATGCTCTCTTGGACTAAAATTCGACAGGTTTGACTGGCCAATAACCAATCAGTTAATTACACTGTAGTTGGCACAAGAAGCAATTGAGGTACTGGATTCTAAATTAACGAAGAAAAATTTGATAAACGGAAAATCATCAGAATTGAAGGGACATTTTGGAAGATTTTAAAATACTTAGTAGAACAAAAACGAATTAGACAAATTTCTAAATCGGAACATCTGAATTCTCAATATAATCTGCAATAAATATGTTACGATCACATTATGAAGGTAGCAAAGTGTTACTGTTTTGGTTGCACTACAACCATGAACCACACATTTCAAACACATACAATACTTATACAGCTGAATGGAAAATGAAGTAATGAACTTACTATTTATAGAAAACTCATCAATTCTTGGAACACACCAATTGTTGGTGAAAAAACACAGCCCCAGGTACTAAATACAGTGTACTCAACGTCCGGATTTAAAATATGTGTAAGAATCGCCGGAATATTGCGGTGAGAATTTCTGTTTGAATATATTAGCGACAAGAGAAACGCCATTGTCGGACGTTAGGACTCCTCAAACTACATTAAATACATTCCTTCTGTAACATCCTTAATAAATGTAATAGATTTTCAGTGTTGTAATTAGTTTAATACGGGATAGACGTATGTTGTGTGGGAACTGAATACTGAATAGTCGAATGGTTTTAAAATCGCATAAAAAACAGGCCCGTAAAATTGGGTTTTACTTCATTGTACCTTCATTACTTGACCGTTTAATAAATTTATTTATACGGCCCTGAATATTCTGATTGAGTGCTAGATTGAGGCAGTCCAATAGATTGCTGATATTCTGGTGCTGGTGACTCCTCTGCCTCCTCGATTGGTGTCTCCAGAGAGCCTTCTTTAAGAACTGATTTTCGAGGGACATGAGCTTTCGGTTTCCCGTTCATTATTTGGGATGAGTTGTAACTATTCAAGTAACCACTGATGGCCATTTCACGCAGCTTTCGGGTCATTTCCTTGTTGGCGATCAGTTTCTTGATGGTGAAGGAGTCTTGGAACTTGGAGATGATGATGGTCATGGGGAATGCGAGGACCACGATTCCAAACAGTACAACAAAACTTCCCGTCAACTTGCCTAATGAAGACCTGAAAGGGAGGATATCAAAATGGAAGTCTCTGAAAAGAATGGGACCCCAGAATTGATGAGGTCAGTAAACATATTTGTAACACATTGTAACACTGTAAAAGAATTGAAATCTCTGAAGAGATTGGGATATTTTCAGAGAATATGGGTCTGTGAAAAAACATCCAAGCTAATTGTGGTGATTCAATACGAATTGATCAGGTATTTCATTTACTTCGGAAAAAGGTCTCCATAACCGACTGTTGTTATGGTAACGATGGCCCACCAGCAACCGTGTAGAATAGATTTAAAATCAACGTTTTCGTCGCCTTCCTGAGGATAAATAATTCATGAACTATTTTTCTTAGCTTAGTTTGCTAAGGATAAGTGTTATGTTTTCCTTTAAATAATCGTGTAACAACGATTTTATTTTCAAAGAAAATTGACGGAACTGTACATGGCACATGTGCAATATTAACAGGCATAATCACTTCAAACAAGCGCTATTTCCAATTAGGAACAAAAGAAACAGATAAGAAGGAAGAAACACAGAAACTGCTGATAAACTGCTATAATATAGCATACATCAGGGATTTGGAACTCCACAAAGTACATAATGGTGCCCACAAGGAGGATAACAACCCCCACCACTCCGATCAGGACTATGAACTCTTGTTTTGCTGACGATACCACCTGAAGTAGCTGTGAAAGGGACATATAATAAGGCGATTTTTAAAATTTTTAAAATGTTTTATAATTTACAGAGTACACAATATATGTGCGATAAAATGCAGCTTTTATTAGTGTTTCTCAACCTGCTCAAATTGAGGAGAGTTCAATTAACCCATTAGGGACGATAGGGTCGTTTACGACTCACCTTTTCTAGAGGCTATAGAGGACAAACCAAAATACTAAACGCCACGAATCTTTCGCACATATGCTCAAAATTTATTGGGCTACATTATTGACTTTCCAGTCGAGACCCAATTAATCACTAACAATTAAATAATTAGACTAATTAGTCGTCATAATTGGAAAATATTTCACTTAACTTCTTGCCTTGATTGGGACATTTAAACTTTATGTAGGCTTATTTTTTGAGAACAAAATAGTTGCGGGCAACGATTTCCTTGAGACAAATGAAAAGCCCGTGATAATCAAATGTTCACAAACAGATCTAGACGCTGTTTACTAACTGCGGTCGCATACGACCCACTCGTCCGGGTCGCAAACGACCCATCACGGTTTTTCGGCTTTAACTTCTGAAACAAAGACGTTAGGATAAAATAAAAACTGTAGCATAAGTTAAAAACATATATGACCAATACTGTGTGACTCTAACTTTTTAGAAATAAAGAATTTGGGTCATTAACGACCCACTCGGCTCACTTGCTTATTACTGCATATGTCCATGTAACTTCTTGAATTCAGCCTAAAACATGACATCATAAGTGCAAACTCGCCTCTCAGCAAGTGATTATCATCATAAACTGCAAAAAATCGGTTAAATGGGTCATTAGCGACCCACTAGGACCACAAAATTGATAAATTAAATACAATGTTGTGAAACTTTTACGAATACTAGTTTAAAAACATGCTATATCTTGGTCATTACTCCTGTACGTTGATTTAACTTCTTAAATCGATCAACTGGGTCAATAACGACACACTCGGAAGTTGAACCACGTCATTAATTATCATGCTATTCCACCATCAAGAAAGACACTCGTAGGTCTTAATTCCACACAAACCACGGTGGCTGACAACTAGCCCTCCTGAGATCCATGGCCAACTGAAGGGCCGTCATCACTCATCAAAAAGCTGCGAGAATAACAAGACTGCATATGCCTGGAGTTGCGTCCTGACTATGGTGCGTGGGCCGTGGAAATCTGTACCGAAAGGACCGTGGCCGTGTCGCAAAAGAAAAGGAGATCGGCCCTCGTTCCTAACTTGCTAGGTAATAGCCATACTGTTGTTGTTGCTTTTTAAATTCTGTCACTTTTTTCGTCAATTTCGAATCTTGGTAAACGACCTGCTACAACCGCTTGAGACCCAGGGTCCCACGGTGATCAGATCATGTCACTCAAGAAAAATACCCTGAACGAAGTATACGAGATATCCTGTAACCTCGGGTAAATATTGAAAGAAGAGCGGTCAAATTACATATTATTCTAATCCAACATGCCAATCTGTTTGACATTCCTAGAAAGTACGAGAATAACTAAACAACTGCTGCATTCAGATGGCTACATCTACAGCTCTGTGAAGAAGGACAAGGAAAAAGCACCCCCCCCCCCCATCTGGCTGGCGGTGCTGCAACCTGCAATCTCTCAGACAACTACTCCGTTTTGGGTAACAACCCCGCAACAACGAGGCAGCTTTCAAAACGAAACCAAGTATTACGTAATCGGCCGAGAGGGAGAGGGATTTCCAAATGATTACGCTAGTGTAATTTTGACATAATAGCTATGTAGTGGGGTGGGCCGGGGGGTAAAAATTGTCCAATAAGTGATTACGTAATATGTGAACGGCCTCTAAGAAGTAAAGAAAGGAGGCTGCGAAATGAGTAGAAGCAGCCATCTGAAATCTGAATCCAGCAGTTGTATATAGTTCTTCTTGGACTTTTTAGGAATCGGGAAAAGATAGGCACGTTGTTTGTCGTCTCACGACATTACGGTCGTGTACTAACAGCTGATAAACTCACCTACCTATCAATCCAATTCTGCTCATTATTCGTCAGTGATTGGGTGACGTGATCTGCAGATCACCTTGAGACTCCAGATCTCATGAGGGCTAGTGGTCATCCACCCGTGGTTTGCGTGGAGTTAAGACCTACGAGTGTCTTTCTTGATGGTGGAACGGCATGATACTGATAATTAATGACGTGGTTCAACTTCCGAGTGTGTCGTTATTGACCCAGTTGATCGATTTAAGAAGTTAAATCAACGTACAGGAGTAATGACCAAGATATAACATGTTTTTATACTAATATTTATAAAAGTTTGACAACATTATATTTAATTAATCAATTTTGTGATCCTAGTGGGTCGCTAATGACCCATTTAACCGATTTTTCGCAGTTTATTATGATAATCACTTGCTGAGAGGCAAGTTTGCACTTATGATGTCATGTTTTAGGCTGAATTCAAGAAGTTACATGGACATATGTAGTGATAAGCAAGTGAGCCGAGTGGGTCGTTAATGACCCGAATTCTCTATTTTTTAAAAGTTAGAGTCACACAGTATTGACCTTATATTTTTAACTTATGCTACAGTTTTTATTCTATCCTAACGTCTTTGTTTCAGAAGTTAAAGCCGAAAAACAGTGATGAGTCGTTTGCGACCCGGACGAGTGGGTCGTATGCGACCATAGCTGTATCTTTTAAAGTAAACGAGATACAGATTAGCTTTTTTGGATATCTCATTTTTGCTGTAAAGTGACCTAGTGTGTTAAACGGCATCAAAATCGGCAAACTTTAAAACTCGTCGTCCCTAATGGGTTAAGCTAAAAATCAATTACCTTTATGCCGATAAATTGGTTAGATATCAATATGAAACCAGCTTTATTTAGGTCTAAACTACAAGATCTAAAAGTGACTTGATTCTAAACCTTATGGCTTTGCATTTTTCAGTGTCTTTGCATTTTTTCAGAATCAACGTAACAAAAAATTAGCGAACAAATTCTAAATTTTGCTATATACCTCAAGTACTTCCGTCAACTGTCTACTGTGTCTAACCAGCTTCAATACTCGGACGACTCTAACTATCCTACACACCTGACAAAAAGAGGGTTAGAATGAACACTTGGTATCTTAGTATCTTGTGTCTTGATGTTTACAAAGATCACATTGATTACATTTTACAATGATTACAATTATTACAATGATTACAATGATTACAATGATTACAATGATTACAATGATTACAATGATTACGTATAAAATATTAATAATCACCTTGAGCGCAAAAAAATGCGGAGAAGGTTCCCCTCCAGTAGCGATGAAGACGAGGAGCTCGAGGTAGAACGGGGATACTGCCAGGATATCCATTACATTGACTGTGTTCAAGAAGAACCTCTTCCTGTTCTTCGAGGATAAAAACCTTGGCGACGAGATTTTGTGGTTTATGACTTTATAGGGCAAAGGTATGATCAGAAATATCCTACAAAAGTAAATAATGTATGCAAGTGTGCGATAATGCAAACAAAACATTAAATAACTTGACTAAATATCCTACAAAAGTAAATAATGTATGCAAGTGTGCGATAATGCAAACTAAACATTAAATAACTTGACTAAATTGGGTCGACTGTGGAGAAGTAAACTCTAACTAACTTAATGATAAGATCAACCGTGAAGAACAAGTTGATAACCACATCCAACATGTAGGTGGCCATCTTGTACGGCTGGATCTGTCCCGTTATCTCATCTTTAGCAAAGGGTTTCTTAAAGTGATCATGGAACGCTGGGATTGTCTCTATAACCAACAAGGATATGGTCATTATGATGCACGCCAGATCCATGAAGCCCCATACCATTCCAGCTTTGTTATAGCTCGGATCTGTAATCTGCGGGATATAGTAATATAAGTGAAATTTCCTGCGTTTTGGATACATTCATCTAGGATATATTTATCATTTTGAATACATTAATCAGTTTGTCATTTCATAAGCCTGATTTATTGCTGAATTACAGATAGTCCGACGGAATCTGATTTTAGAGCTCAACACGGGATTTCTATCCAATCACATGAATTTAAATATAATTTAGATATTCTTCTTAAATTTACAGTAAAAAACTAAAAAGTAGATATTCATCTATTCATAGCTGAGTCCTACCGTTTTGTTTATAGTCTCTTTTAGAGTTGGAGGAAGTTCGGGGTGAAGTTCTAAATAAATTCTGTCGTATTCTTTTATCATGAGGTCCAGATCTATACCAAAGAAATCTAATTCTTCTTCAACAACTACAGGATCCATCATCTCTGGGGGACTATTGTATTTTTGTTATATACAACAAAATATATAACAAATTATATATATATAATTTGTTATATATAATTTTTGTTATATCTCAACTACAACCTCAAGTTGGCACTTGGAAGCATTCTAGAATAGTTGATTGTTGCCACTGTGGATTCTCAATATTCATCGTAACTTGAGAGACAATGACACAGGTTAATATGTGAAAGTAGTACAGGTTAATATGTAAAAAGAGTAAAAAAATAATGTTAGTTTACCGGAAGGTTCCGGGTGACTGATAAAAGTAGAGGATTGCATTAAACAGATCCTGATTTCTGTCAAAGTAGTACATGCTTGTCTTTGCATCATAAAAAGCAGCTCGTCTCTGAAATTTGAGATGTATAATAATATAATTAACTTGTCGTGAATTATTTGATAAAAAATAAAGATTAAAGAAAAAGTTAAGTAAGTTTTGGATATTCATTTTAGGATCTGGGTCAAAGCAACAGTTGAATCCAGGTTAGAAACTAGAGTCTTACGTCAGGGTCTCCTAACAAGGTATTGGGATATCGAGACAAAGATTGTTCAGTTGTGATAAACATCTCTCCTCCGCAGTCAATCTTGACTAGTTTAGCGTTCTTGCAGTCAAGTCGAACTTCTATTGGCACTCGCTCAGGTATATCCCTTCCTAAGAGTACCTGAAATATTGGAGCTGGGTAATTTTGGAGGGGATCAATATTTATTGCTCAAATTTAACGAAACCAGTTTGATTATTGATGTTTAGATATAACGCGGGTCGTTATAAGATTGAACAAATTACACTTTTTTATTTTATGAGGGGGATGTTCTAGAAAGGAATGCACGAAAAAGCAGTATTATATTATTATAACTCTATGATGATAGAGCTAGAAATGCAGCTAGAAAAATAATTCCGTTTAGGTAGGAAGTCTCAACATTTCAATGTGTCGTGCAGTATCATATTTATTTTCTCAAAGTATTTGTTATTTAGTTAAAACTTAAAAGTTGGCAAAGCTGGTAGTGCTAAGTGCCAGTGGTATAAATATGATACAAAATAATAAAATCTTATAAAGATTGATTATACAAAACCTCGTATACTAATTCCTTAAGCATGAATATGCAGGAATAAGCAGGAATAAGCAGAATAAGCAGGACTAAGTGCAGAAATTGCAAGAACTAAGCAGGGCTGAGTTCAATTCGTCGAGACGTAGGAAAGTATCAAGCGATTGAAAGCGCTACGATTAAATAAGGATTAAATAAGGAAAACATGTCTCAAAGTAAGTGCCGCAAGAGAGCAAAGGTAAGAAGTAAGAAGTAACGAAATTATAGGAGGTATTGCTCTCCCTTTATTCTTATTGCCTTTACATTCTTATTGGTTTAGAAATAAGCCTGAAAAGTGATCATTCAAATTGCAATTATTCCAGAAAGGTTTCAATGACAACTTAGCGAGGGGAAGAAACGGAAATGTTAACTTTTGGGGCGACACAAATTTAATCTTGAACGCAATTTCTGTGGATGATGATATCAACTTCGATTCTAATTTAAAGTCATACTCGGATAAATTACTAAATTAAGTTTAGCCTGAACGACCAAATGTAATCAAAATTTCATTAACACTTCATCAACTTGGACGAGTGACAGTGTTGGAGCACTAACTATTACTTTTCTCAAAAATGTCGAGTACTTGGCCCAGTCGTGTGTTAAATCTAAACCGTGACACGGGCTTGCTTTTATGTAAAATACATATAGTTCGAGGTACACCCTCGGATCTATCCAAACTCTAACCGAACTCTAACGAAGTTGAATGTGTTATAAGATTTGAAAATTTGAAGTTCACATAATATATGTATGTTTGTAGATATGTATGTTTGTAGTTTTGTTACGTGTTGAAAAACAGAGCTCCCTTATCTCTGTTTAATCGGAAATTTTAACTGCCACTGCACTGCTACTGCACGGTGTTTGTACTTTACCTTTGTACATCTATACAAGTACAAATACACAATTGCAATGGAAAAGTCTGCTCATAACTCTGCAAAGAATCTTCTCGTCAACGGTTTATGTAAAGCTTGTTCGAATGATGAGGTTGTCAAAAGTACCGACATTGTACAGTGTTTTTGGTGTAAGGACAGTTTTCATGCTATCAACTGTGATGAAACTTGCAATGTCAGTGCGCCCACGGTTTTTACTGCTCACCTGTCTCATGCTGTGAACAACACTTCATCTTATGCTAAACGATTTGGTCGCTTTCTATTTATCTGTAATGATTGTAGTACTGCTGAGGAGGAAAAGAGGGCTGCTACTACCGTAGATCGGGTAGGATTGTTAGATAATAAAATAGATGCCATAAATTTGGAGTTCAGGGAAGAGATGTCTGAACTTAAAACCTTGCTGAAGGAACAACTGTCCCAGAAACCTGAGAGAGCTCAAGAGCGATCCTCAGATCAGGTTGATTTTATGAAACAATTTGCTGAACAGTTTTCATCTTTAAAAGAAGACCTCACGAAAAATATCAATGATGTTATTGACAATAAAGTAAACACTGTTGTAACAAAATCTGGTACTGTTTCTCATACAAAGGACGTTCTCTATTCCAGCTTGTTTACCGACTCAAACAGTTCCACACCATCTGCTCAACCACCACATGTTCCAATCGCTCCAACACGTACACAACCTTCATCACCCGAGATTCTAATTCTGTCCCCGAAAGAAGAACAATCGGTAAATGCTGCAACAATGACAAATGTGAAAAAATTTGCTACTGATAAATTAAAGAGCAGTCAAGTAGTATTTCTCAGATGTAATGAAAACAATAAGAAAGTTTCAATTGGCTTCCCTAATGCTGAAATTCGTGATAAGGCTACTTCACTTCTCAATGATGGAAATACCTTAGATTCGTATGGATATCAGTCTAAGAATGGCAACAAAATGCTGCCAAAAGTTACTATTTATGGTGTTTCTTCTGAAGTTCTTGACGATATAGACACTACAGCTGTAGGGAATGATGCCGATAAACTTAGGGATCTTGAAAAGAACCACTTAGTCGCCCAAATTGTGAAGAAAAACTCGTCCATCAAAGATTTGTATGAAGCAGGGCACACTATCAGTATTGTCTATCTCAATAAGATAAAACGTTTCACCAACGATAAGCAGGAACGCATAGAGCTCACTATTGGAATCAAACTATCACCATCTGTCTATAGAGTCCTCTTTAACCAACAACAAGGATCTCTCTATTTAGGTAGTCGCAGATACAAAGTAACTGATCGCTTCTACATCAAACAGTGTTATCATTGTCAAATGATTGGACACACTTCTGTTGACTGTAATGAAGTCAAAACAAATAAACATCCTACCTGCATGTACTGTATGGGAAGTCACCGGTCTTCAGCATGCCAATTTAAGCAGAAGAAGGACAAACATGCCTGTGCTCGATGTTTGGCTTCAACACACACTAATGATGCCGAGAATTCAAGAACACATAATGCGGCAGCTTACGATTGTCCTGTGTTGGTAAGAGAAACTAAACGTATTGCTGCTAACACTGACTTTATGTGTCTGATCTCCCTGTATCTACTGCTACTGGTGAATCACGGATCAACACCCCTAAGCCCAGAGACAAATATCCAAACTTGGTCCCTGCCCCTGTCTACGATCCTATAACACCGGGGCCAATGAATATATCTGTAACTTGTTCCCCATCACCAGTGAAACCAGTTACCCTACTAGATGATGGTCCATTCTCTAAATTTTCACTTGATCTATTAATGGAAGAACTTGAGTTCAGTCACGGTTTTAAAAACAGGAAATCGGTTTATTTTGGTGACTTTCCCTATGAGTATTCAGGTGCAACACATGACCCAAAAAGTGTACACAATGATTCCTACCTTGCTAAACTCAGCTCCTACATTAATGTGATATTACCCAATTTCAGACACAATAGTATTCTCGTCAATCTATATGAAACTGGAGCAGAGTTCATGCCAGCTCATAGCGATTCTGAATCATGTATTGTAGAACACTCTGATATTGTAACCATTTCACTTGGTGCGACGAGAACACTGCAAATTAGATCAAACGGCAGCAATGAAGTTGTGGGCTCTGTGCAACTTCAGCATGGAGATGTCTTCATCATGTCCAAATTGTCTCAGGCTGACTTTCAACATGAGATACTGCCAGACGAAATGTGTGATGAACCCCGGATCAGCATCACCCTAAGACTGATGAAGCCCCCTAGGATCACTCAGTCAACTGAGTTTGGTCTGCGTTCACCGCCCCCATCCATCCCTCATTCAGGACACAAACTGACAGACTCTTCTTCACCTGCACTCTCAGTTTGCAAACAGCCAGCCAAAGCTTCACAAAAGTCTGTCCTATTCATAAGCAGCTCTATGTTCAGGTTTCTTGATGCGGACAAGTTATCATCGTCCACTGTTAGTGCTAGTAAACTGTTTTATCCTGGGGCTGATGCCAAAGTAATGTTAAATAAACTAAAAACTGACCTACACTCCGTTCCATCCCCATCTATTATTTATATTATGACAGGAACTAATAATGTGAACACAGTCTATTTTGGCTCAAAGTCACTGAAGGATGCAGCGGGTGACATTAGTAATCTCTTAAATTATCTCAAGTCAGTGTATCCGAATGCAACAATTAATGTTCTCAATATTCTTCCCAGGAGTACAAAAGGCCGCAATGATGTTGTGGCAGAGCTGAATAAGGTTATTAAGGATATGTGTAGCAAAGATTCTTGTTTTAATTACATTAGCACCCATAATTTATTTAACTATAATAGAAGTGGATTCAGGAAAGAATTTTATTTTGCCAGACCATCTGCAAAAATATCTGATAACTGTCACCTCAATACAAGCGGTGTTATTCGACTTGCTAAATTTCTGAAGTATTGGGCCCATAAGCAAGTTTGAATTTTCAGAAAGATTGTTAACATTTATTTCATCTAGATTCTAGATATGATAAGGGATAATTACACATTGTTCCTCATGTTTATTGAAGTTTTAGAAAGTTTTGTTATTATCTCATACAAATTTGCCAGTTCTGCAATTTATCTTATTCTGACAAGTTTATAGCAGCATAAATTATAAAAATTTTCATGCTCTCACAGCAGTTCTTGCATTAACCCGTGCATTAGTAAAATCACAGTTTCATACCATGCCAAAAAGCTTGCAGTGGGACATTGCAACATGCAGGGAGGACTAACAGGTATGCCAAAATGTCTTGAAATCCAAGATCTAATCTGGAAAGAGAAATTAGATGTTTTATGCCTGAATGAAACAAATCTTAAGTCGGATATTGACTCAGCCAGTCTAAACCTACCCAAGAATTTTACTTTTATCCGCAAAGACCGTCATAACGACAATGGTCATGGGGGATGTGGCATTCTCATCAGTGAGCACATAAAGTTTAAAATGATTCAACTAAACTTAGTTTTGCAATATGACCAAATCGAGGCTATTTGGATCCATCTTACAGATTGCAATATTTTCATCTGCTGTTTCTACAGATCTGAGTTGTTTAGTCCTCTTGACAAATTTTTAGATTATATGACAGACTGCATGATGAGTATAGGAAGTAAGAATGTTATTTGGCTGGGTGATGTAAATGTAGACCAAAACAACATCAGCAGTATGAACTATAAGAAATTAGACATTACAATGAAAATGTTTGGAATGGTACAGGTAGTTCAGGATATTACCCGCATTGCTAAACTAGGAAACAGAATCACAAAGACCACAATCGATGTTGTCATAACAAACACTTACTCCAAGTTTCTTGACTGCAAAGTCCTTGATGATTGTATAGGAGATCATCAGGTCGTAAAGTTCATTGTCGATTTCAATGTGCATAAGGCCTCAAAATTCAAGAAGTTACTAATAAGAGATCACAGCAAAATGAATGTTACTGCTCTTAAAGAATTTTTGGAAACCTGTGATTATAGACCAATAATAGATTCAACTAGTCTGAATGATGCAGTTGATGGTTTAAACGAACATATTGATCACTACTATGATCACTTCTGTCCAATTAAACAAATTAAGTGCCATAGTGATTACATCCATAAGCCATCTCCAGAATTTTTAGAAAGTAAGAAATTGAAAGGGAAACTTTACCGTAAATTTTTAACACACAACAAGAACAGACGTATACATCCAAATGGTCTTATACACTGTAATAAATGTGACTCATTATGGATGGCATATAAACGGCAGAGAAACTATTCAACCTATTTGTCTAGAATTAATAGGAAGACTAACTTAGCAACAGAACTGAAAGCCAAGTGTGCCATGAATGATCTAAAGGGTGTATGGAAAACGATAAAGACAGCATCAAATCTGCCTGTTAAAGCTAACAATATCAATAACAATCTTGATGCTGAAACCACCAATAAATATTTTGCTGAAATAGGTCCAAAGATCCAAGCAGAAGTGCAGCTGGAAAATGAAAATGAATTTCTATCTTATCTACAAAATGAGCAGATTGACAACGAGACCAGCTTGAATAGCTTTACTGAAATAACTGAGTCCAATATCTTAGACTATGTGGCAAGTATCCCTTGTAGCAAATCCACTAATGATCATATACCATTGAGAGTGTTTAGACAAATTTTACCTGCATTTATTGCTCCATTAACACATCTTGTAAATTTGAGTTTATCCAGTGGCATCATGCCAAACAGCTGCAAGGTTGCAAAAGTCACCCCAATCCATAAGGATGGTGA